TCACCCACCTATTGGGTCCAAAATACCCTTGTCATCCATCTTTTGGTTCAAAATTGACCACTTATTTAATGATTTTATATTTAAACTATTCAAATATTTTTTTAAAATACGCGGCGCTCAACTATTTGTTATAATTTAACTTATTAGTGTAATTTATAAATCAATCCACTACCCACCCAATGCTAATTAAATCCCTCTAAATTAATGAACCCGTCACACTATTAATGCAAGCTACTGCCAATTGAGTGTTTTTTAAAAATATAGAAGTAAATTATCATACGTTCAAGTGGCTACATAAAAATCACCGATAAACTTAAAAGTCTGATTATGTTCATCTTAATTATTCTTACGTCTCAGTTATGTGATGTTACTTAATAGGTAACTTTTTTTAAAAATAATATATGAAAGGTTTTAAAATAAATCATAAATAATTATAAAATTATATTTAAAAAAAGTGCATGAACTAATTCGGGATGTATTATTTCTTTACCTTTAATCATAAATTTCTAATTCAATTTTGAAAGAAAGTGTCCTCCTAAATAAGCGGCTCAACCTAAATTCAATTGGGGCTTCGATTCAAACTCGAATAATTTTGAATGTCATTTTCAGTAATCTATAATTTCATCGTGTTTTAGTAGTGTTTATGACGATTTTGATATTATAATTGAATTATTAATTGAGTGAGGTTTAGTTAGTAATGAGTGGTTAGCGGATTGGTTTATAAATTATATTAATAAATTAAAATTATAATAAATAGTTGAACACCCAGTATTTTTAAAATTATTTAAAGAATTTAATTTTAAAACAATTAAAAAATAGTCAATTTTGAACCCAAAGATAGATGAAAAGGGTATTTTGGAGCCAATAGGTAGATGAAAAGGACATTTTGGAGCCAATAGGTGGATAAAGAATAATTTTATACCATTTCAATACTTTAAGGATATTTTAGGCCCTTGTCCGCACTAACTATGAGTTAGCACTAATTTTGCATTATCGCTAATAGTGATTTAGCACTAACGCTAACAATTTTCTGACACTGACTAGCACTAACCTTTTAGCTCTAATTTGGCACTGACACTAATTTTGCACTGGCACTAACCTTGATTTTAGCACTAAGCTTGCACTAACAATGATTTTATCATAATGATTTTTGCACCAAACTCGCACTAGCGTCATTTTTATAGATTTAATTTAGCACTAATTTAACACTAACCTTTCTAGCCTTGTATTTATCTCAAATGATTCTGCACTAACTCTAAAGTTTGCACCAATTTATTTAGAGTGATTTTTCCACTAGCTTTAAAGTAGCACTACTATGATATTGAGAAATTTTAAGCTTTCCAACAGAGGTCAAAGATCATCATTCATCGTCATGTTATCGATGAAGTATCATCATTATTACTAATATTGCATTATCAAGAAAGTCATCTTCGCCTCGCATCATATCAATTTATCATCTATTGCATCAAAATTGACTAAGGATGACGACAAGACATTTAGAAAAAAAATGTGATAAATACAGTAAAACATATTACTTTCTATTTTAATTACAATTTCTATCAACAATTTCATTTCAGTCTTGTCGGTAGCATCCAAGAGGATGAATTCTCAAATCAAACCACATGGGCGGACGACATAAAAAAGGATGCAGCACGACATGGAATTTTTCTTAACAACGAATTGGGACTTAGTCCAAAGAGGCAAACTCTTCAGACGCGAGCTAAGGAGTGACTTCCATCACAATCAAACCACACCTTTATCTGAAGGCATGTGAGTTTTTCTTTGAGTTTATCAATTTCAGCTCGCATCAGGAAAACTTCAACTCTCACCAAGAGCTTTGCATCAAGAGCTTTGGAAATTATGTTTGTGTAAGTTCTTATTTATGGGTGTAAAAGAGCCCCACATTCATGGCTAAGAGGTTCCAAACCTCTTTTTCATACTCGACTTACTTGTCACTCCTCTAGAACCAAAACTTATCTTGCATAATAGATTTCGTTTTGAACCAATCGAGTCGAACTATAAGCTTATCTTGCATAATAGATTTTCTTTTCAACCGAGGTGAGTTAATTACGTCAATACTCATAAAAAAAGTTGCTTTTAGTTTGCTTTTTCTGAGACTTATTAAAAAAAATACTAGTACAATATCAACCTGCAACAGCTAGTGCATTTTGGAGTCTTTCGTACCTTTTTAGTATAGTAGTCTCTGGGAATGTGCATCGCACGTTTATCCAAAATACTTAAAACAATTCTTCTATGACAAATGATAAAATTTGAATGACATTTATATATATATATATATATATATATATATATATATATATATTACTGTAGACTTCTTATGTGCTACAAAAAAAATCAAATACAATAGAAAACAAAAATAACAAGCCCATAAGTTGAGATTAGAAATTCTTGCAAAAACGGTAGTACTTTTCTGACATATATATAGTACTCTAATTTAAAGATAAATACATATTGTAATGAAAAATTATTTATCTTGTGCAACTAATGATTATCCATGAACAATAAAAACTAAATTGATGCATATATTGAATCGCATCATGACCAATCCAATTGTGGTTAACAGTCATAGAACCTTATATTGATATAAAGCAAAAAAAGAAAAAAGAAGGTGGGGTGGGTGTAAGGGATGGGGTTGATAAGTACTTGAAGCTGAAGATGGTAGAGAAAAAGACTCAAGAAACTGTGAATATTTTAACCAAATGAAATAGTAAAAAGACTTATTTATAACGTGATTTTAAGAGTAGTAGAAAAGACAATTTATTATGAGATGTTAGGAGAAATAGAAGAGATTCATTATTATAAGCTGTTTGCAGTAGTTGAAAAGACCTAATTATTATGAGATGGTCTTTTTTCATTTTTTTAAAACAAAGATTTAATTTCTGAACTTAATGCATTATACATACATCCAAAGAGAATGCTAAAAGCCTAAAGCATTGTCATATTAAAAGTAAATGAACTATTAGTCAAATGAAACTGGACTATACTTAATTTAATTTACTCAAATTCATCATATTTGGATTTTAAAGGAATAATTAAATAGACTTTTTAAATATATTTTTTGATACTTTAATTAAGTTTAGGGATAAAATGATAATTTAACTTTTTATTTTGAAGCTTTCCATGGTTAGTTTTTATATATATACATATATATACATATATATATATATACATATATATATGTATATATATTAAGAGTGTTATACAATGAAAACAATAAAGAAACCTAATCATTAAACAAAATAAATAAAAATACATAAACAGAAGAGAGCGAGAGTTATACATTTTTTTCAACTATATTGAGTGTGTACAATCTTGCGTCAAAATGCCACTATTTATAGATAGGATCGAAGAACACAAGAGTTGTCATGACTCATTTATATGACATTAACTCATATGAGATCATGAATGAGAGGTAGGAGTAAAAATCATTATGAAATAATTAGTGAAAGTTATGATATTTACATAAAGGAGAGTTAGTTGAACATTAATACAAATATTTATATATAAAAAAATTATATATAATAATATAGATCCGATTTTTTTATATATATTTACATAAAGGAGAATTAGTGAAACATTAATACAAATATAATATATATATATATATATATATATATATATATATACAAATATAATATATATATATATATATATATATATATATATATATATATATATATATAATATAGATCCGATTTTTTTCTTTTTAGAGAATAAACACAACCATTCATATTTCCAATTGGAATACAAAAAGAACAATAAATTCATAATTTACTCCAATATAAAATCAATACAAAGATATTTCATAGATATTACGGTGGTTGATTCATGACTAATGTGATGAGTTACTATTTAATATCGAATTTATTAAATAGTTAAACATTTTAATTTAATATAGAAGTAAAACGGTCATCTATCTTTTGTCTAACATTCTTTCTACTTTTAAGCGTATGTTACTCTTACGAAGCAAATATAAACTTCTTAAAATCCACAAAGACATTATAGAAAATTCTTCAATTATTAAAATAATAAATTCAAGTTCCTAACAGTAATGAAGGTAAACACTAAATATCTATTTAGCAAATAAAGAAGTCATATCCAATACTTATCATGAAAAATAGAAGCAACAAAGTAATTCAACTGCCAGCAAAAGCATCATATATTTATCCCTGAAATTAAAAATCTACCTCATAAATGGTCACAACAAAATTTTAATAGTTTATTTTTATGTGAAAGATCAAATCCTTAAACAACAATTAAAGAATTAAGCATGATTTATATGATAAATAAAAAATTAAAACAATAGACGGAATACAAAATACGAAAGTACATACCATAAGAACTTTATTAAAAAAAAAAGAAAGAAGATGAGAGTCTTACATTGTCTAAACCAAATTCAACTACACAATATTGTTGGTAAAAGAAAATCTGAAAGAAAAAACATACAAACTAGGGATGAAGAATAAATTTTTGGGAATTGTAATATATAACAGTTTCTTTTAATACTCTTCATTTGAAATGTTTGAACTACCACCTAGCAAATTAATGTAATCTATTTATTCATTTGAATAACTTTTTATCTTTCATTATATCTTAATTATAATAATTTAAATTGAATACTTAACATTGATTAATGAATTAGTTATTAAAATATATTTTACATTTTGTACATTGAAAAAAATATTTAACTGAAGGACAAAATGGTAATTTAACTTTGAAGTTAGGAGCTTCACACTTTTAATAATATATGATTTGTACTATTAGTTGGAATTTTACCATGCCAACGATTCTTTTTTTTTTTGAATATTGGCTTGTGTTTTTACATACCACATTAAATCATAACTTTAAATTCGTATTTTAATATGTGATTTGAGATTATAATTTAAAATTTAAAATCGAAAATTCAATTATTTTTAAATATAAGACTTAACTCATAAATTTATGTTTCATAAAATTAAAAGAACCGTATTATATCGTAAATCAAAATAAGGAGTCCAAAGCCAAAATGGTTAAAAAAATTTATCAAAAATTCCAAGTCAAACGAGGAGCAGTTGTTGACACCCAATTTTGAACCTCCACATTGTATACTAATCATCGAGCTATTGAATATTTGCGGGATGCAATGTACCTGTGCTGCATCATGACAACTCTAACTTTAAATTGTCATTTTCTCTATTCAATGCCCTACTTTGGAGTGTCAGCACCTTATGCATTCAAGGTGCCTTCTCCAGTTATTATTTGGAAATGGAAATTTGCCTGTTGATACTATTGAATGTCTTACTTGCCGGATACAATGTATCTGGGTTGCATCACAATAACTCAAACTTCAAATTGTTATTGCCTCTATTTAGCTTGTTTTCCTTATTGAAATTCTTGTTAGGTGTTTTTAATTTAACCTTTTGTTGCTATTGTACGATGTTTGGTTTCTTTAATATATTCTTTTTTGTTATATACTTAGTGTTGTTTCTTTAATATTATAACGACTCAGAAAATTATAGGTTAAACTAGAGCCTAATCACTTTGGATGTTAAGTTCGTATTGAGGGTTCTTGTTGTGTAATGTTGACCCGAGCTAAGGAGTTTAATGAGTCAACGTTAAGGCACATATTAGACTCCATGTTAAAGGGATATTTTTAATATTGGTTAAGGGTTGCAACGTTGTGTGCTTAGCCAAAAAGGAAGGTCTAAGCCAAAGGCCAAGGCTTGCCCAACCTTGGCCAAGCAGTGCCTCATGACCACGACCACTTTAAAGACCAATTGTGTTGACCATGGACCGTGAAGTGGTCTGTGAAGATCACTTAGTGGCAAGGTCTTGAGGCCAAGCTACTGCTCCAAGGTCCACGACCACTTCCAGGGCCAGTGGTTTTGACACAGACCATGAAGTGGTCCGTCGAGATGCCTTAGCATCTTGGGGCATGGCCAGGCAACTTGAGCTGCTGCCTAAGAGGACACTCGCACCTTCACGGACCGTATAGGTGGACATGGTCCGGTCCCTGATAGGGCTGCATAAGTTGAAGGTTCTTAAGTAATTTCATTTATGTCTTTTATTAAGTGGGTTGATTTTAAAAGGTTTATGTGATACATTTAAATAGTTTTAAGTCCTTTGACTCATTATTTTCAAAACTCCAAAAGATAGAAACCTCTTTTCCCAAAATCATCTCTCAAGGAAAACTCAATTAGAAGTGAAGAACTCAAGGTTCCAAGGTCAATCCTTCAAGCTTTTTCAAGGGAATTTCGTGGATTCTCATCTAATAGGTATATTGATTTTTTATCTAGGGCAAGCTTTCACCCTAGAGTCAATTTTAAAATAGTTTTCAAGTTTACAATGTTTATAAAAAAACCTATTCTTACTCAAACTCATGGGTTCTTGTATCAAACATTTTCAAAATGATAAACTACAGTTATACTGATTGTTTATTGATGATTTTAAGGTGAAAAACTCTACGAACCCATGATTTCAATAAATTCTTAAATTTGACTTATGAAGTGGGTTTTATGATTATGATTGGATGTTGATGGAATTATGCATAGGGTGAATTGTATTATTGATTTCTATTATTATCGACATCTATATATGGTGAATTGTTGAGGACTCGAGTAATGCTGATCATGACTTTGGATGATGGTAAGTTAACCTAATTTCATTGTCAATGTAGAATTGATATTGAATTGTGACAGGTTGATGTTTTAATCCACTTATGGGGGAGGTGTTTACATATTGTATGTATTGTGATCATGGTCTTGAAGGCATTCAATGGTGAATTGGAGTATTATCATGCTAATGTATAATGTGAAGGTGTTCATGTGATCTCAAGGTGATCTTGTATAAAGTGTTATTGTATTGTGATTAGAATTATGTTCTCTCTTAATGTTCATGTGTGATGATGCTAGAATGTGAAATATTTCTATAATGTGATGTGGTATCTTGATTTGGTAGACTTAGGGGCCTCTTCTTGATACTTGAAAGCTTATTTAATGTGATCTCTTGACCTAGTAAGCCTTGGCATCTTATTCTTGAGTAATGAATAATTGTTAAGTGAATGCTTAGGATGGGTAGATCACCTAAAATTGGTACCCTTTCTATAAATGATTGATAAGGCATTCTAGATTGTCTTGAACAGTTAGACCTATGTTTGGTGACCTCTTTCTTGTGTGAAATGAAGACATAGAAATGGTGGGTGGTAACAGTAGAAAACTCTTTCTAAGAAAGTTAATGAACTATCTTTAAAAAATCAAAATCTTTACAATGTATTACTTTAAAGAGATAACTATCATTGAAAGAAGGATAAAAAGTTATCAAAACACATAACCAAATACATTAGATGTCTAAATAGAAACTCATTCATATCTCTAAAAATATATATACGAAGAACAACATAATTAACAAAAAGAGTGAATGTATAGGAGAGTAACATAAAAGAAATAACAAAAAAAGTATATATGTAGGAGAGCAACATAAAAAAAATAATAAAAATAGTACCCGAAAACTACAATAGAGATGAATGAAAAATACAAGTGAGAGAATCGAAAAATATAATAGAAGAACTCTGCAGTTCCTCCCACTTGTGCTAAAGAGTGGAGCCCACTTGTGCGAAAGAGTGGAAAATAAAAGTGATGTTGAAGCCTCATCGATATGTGTCTCAAATGTAACTTTGTCTCAAATGTAAGAAACTGGAAAGACTGCAATTACTGCTCCTAGTGACACATAAATTAGAGAGAGTTGAATAGTCACAATTGGTGGCATCCAATCCACGTCCTATATTAATGATCGACCTTTTTCAATTTCAATCGATTTAAAATAATTAGTTCTATAACATTTTAAAAAATATAGAATTCTAAAGTTATTTTAAATAGTTAAATTATTTTTATAATTTTTAAACAATATATGTATGTTTTATATGATTATATATATAATTAATATATTTTATAAATATTCAAAAATCGTCCTTAAAAGATTTTAGTTTCACTGAAATATTCGATTAAATAGTTTAGTAATATAATAGTTTATATTTGTTTTTGAAATATTTAATCTATAGTTAACTTAATTATTTTAATTCTTTAGGATTAAAAAACTTATTAAATTAATAATATGTTTTCATTTTATTTATGTTTTAGTTAAATTTGCTAATCAAACTCAGTTTAGCTAACTTCTTAATTTTCATGGCCATAATTGCAAATCATGTGGCTACTTTTCCATTACAAATCTAACCCTTTTCTTACCTTGTATTTAACTCTTTTAAGGCCAATTATGGGCCCTAGCTTACTTTTCAGTAGCCCAAATTCAACAGCAAACCAATTCCAAATAACCCAAAAATCAGCCCAATTTTCTCTTATTTCTTTGTTTAATGGGAAAATTAATAAATTAGCCACATTTCTTAACATAATTATTAAAAATATTTATATTTAAAATGATAATTAAAAATTTCAATATTTTAGAAAATAAAATATATCCTAATAAAATTAAATTTATTTCCTTTTATTTCTCATATCATGCCCACATTCCACTAACTTTTGTCTCCTATTCGTGTAAAAAAAAGGAGAAGAAAATTCTCATTACCCACTTTTCCCTCTTTCTCAATTTTTACCCCAATATTTTCCTTTCTATTTTTTCAGCATTGTTCTCTTCTTTTCTTGTCTATGAAAATCACCTCTTCTATTTTCCTACAATTTGTTCAACAAATCTCACAATTCCTTCAAAAAAAAATCACCCAATGATAAAGCTACATATATTGTCGTATCTTTTGACATTTCCATCTATTATGTAAAGACACTATCAATAAAAAAAAATTATGGGTGCTGAAGATTTCGAAAAATTTGTTGATGAGCAAGTTGAGGAAGAACAATTTCATATTAGTTTGTTTTGTATATATAGTTATTTTTTAGAATTTTGTATCATTTCTCAATAAATATTCATCAAAAATAATATTAAAATGTTAGATATAGAATGAATATTTTCTTTTTTGAATTTCACATTTCCATGAATAAATTTATATAAGTATGGAAGTAGAGAAATTTGAAACATTAATTGGAAAAGAAAAGTCAAAGAAAAAGAAGTAAAAAAAAAAGTAAGAGAAAAAATCATTAAAAGAAGAGAGAGAAAAATAGATTTGGATCATTTTCTGAAATGGAACCCAACACTTTCCACATGACATAATGGAGCCTCATGTCAGCCACCTCTTGATTTGGGTACAAAAAATAAATGAACTTACCCGATCACCCTTAATTTTTCAGCTAAATTACAAAAATACCTAAAATTTGTTGTTTGTGTCAAGTCGTGCTAATATATTTTCCAAAAAAATGAATTCACCCTTTCCATTCCTATGAAATTACGACTTTACCCTGAAAAAGCAAGGTCCTGCCATTTCGTGCCCAAAAAGTGTCCTGCCAAATATATTTTCTGATTTTCTTAATTATAATTTGATTCTATTGAGAAGATTAATAATCATATTTTCTGATATTCTTAATTATAATTTGATTCTATTGAGAAGATTAATAATCCTTATGACATTTGTAGCACTATTGTTTAAGTTGTCACAATTGGTCATTTGGAGTCACAAACAATGTCTAAGTTGTGTTATATTAATGATTTTCAATGATAAAGTCAGGAAATAACAAATAGTAGATATGGGATACATGTGCAAAGGGTGTGCCCAAGGACTAGTCAGGTTTCGACATCAATTTAAAGGAAGCAAAAGCAGCACACTTTTAGTGTTTTTCCTACTTTTTAAACATCCAATTTTATGTTCACAATTGAAAGTATACAATTATAGAGGTGATTCTTATAATCTATTGATCTTCTAAATCTCTTATCTTATGTTCTGCCTTTGCAATCATCCTTTTTTATTGTTGTCTAGTAACAAAGTAAGCACTGTTACGTGTTTGCAACATATGAACACCTAAAATGAAACATGAAATAAATGTAGTAACTTCACAAATGCAAAAGAGACTAGGTTGAGCTTGAGGGAAATTATTTTTTCCAGATCACAGTGATATCTGAGCCAGTTTACATGCACCATGGCCATTTACAATACAAAGTGTCAGCATGCAAACACTTAGAAGAGACACCTTGCATATAATTTTTGTGCATTCCTTAGTTATCCATTATGCTTGCACTAGTTACACGGAGTACCTACTATCACCAACCAGTATAGGTACGAGGCTCACCAAGGCTTGGGCATTTAAAAAAGGAAATCATCTATCAGATCTAGGGCCTCATGGTTCTCAGTTCAATTCATCGACCACTAGCCACTTCCTTGGGTGCAAAAGTGAGCTGTAAAATAAGCGACAAATGTCGGATATGGTACATCATGAAATGCAATGTCATGCTCTTCCAAATTCAGTGATGGACAAATACATAAGCAGATCGCTAAACTTGTTGGTTTTTTCCCCTCAGGTACCTCAACTACGTCATTTTCCTATTGAATCATTGAACCCCCATTATTTGTTCCGTTTAAACAAACACCGTTGTCTGATGTGGAACCAGATTTGTGAGGGATATTGATAGAGGATACATATGTTGTTCCACAAATCATTAGTCCAATTGATAGTGAAAATGTTTGAGAATAACTGTGTTTTACTTAAGTTATTTGAACACATTAGAAAACAAATGAGACTAACACGATTTGTCTTCATTCCTTCAATCAAAATTATTATAATTCGAACATAATTAAAGAAATTTATTGAGGATATCTTCTAGAGTGTCTGCCTTTCCCCTATAGATCCACCTTTCTTCAAAATAAAGATATAGCAACTAAAAGAAAGCTAAATCGAATCCAAGTTTGGACATCTAAGCCAGTTCCGGTCCTTCCATCTGCCTCTATCTCAATAGCTTTCAAAATCGAGTGATTTGATTAGCTTACATCGGAGGATGGTCTAAAGCTGGCCCTTGCTATCAGTCCAACCAAGGGCACCCCTTCCTAGTCATGAAAGTTCTCCCACGGGGCAACCCTGAAACAAGTTCTCAAATCAATCTATTCGAGCCCTTGAAAGCTGTAGAATTTCATGTGTGAAGCATAGTGAGAGTGACACAGATCTCCTTTTTTCAAATAGGGAAAGCAAATCCTAATCATCAGGTAAGACAGGATCATTAGAATACGAAACTGCCTAAAGAAAGGGAATTGAGCAAGGAGACGAAAAGCTATGTAAAGTAAAAGAAGAAAAGGTCGTCGATTGCTACTAAGAACCTAACAGAACTTTTCCTAATTTGGGTTAAAAAACCACTCGGGAGGAGGTAAAATATGTACTAATACGGTTTTGGAAGGGCTTGGATCTTTCAGAACCATAAGTATCGTACTACTACTAGATACACCCTCTACCGCCCCCCAAAAGAAGAAAGAAAGTGGATAGACATAAAACAAAGAATTCAGAATCCAGCCAGCCTGATCAATAAAATGTGTCTCGACCCCGCCTGCTGATATACATGTTTCTATTTCAGACGTGCCTTCAACCCCGACTGCTGATGTACATGGTTTCGTAGATTCTAAGAAAGTTAACTATGTAATTTTAGATATTGAAGAGTTGAAAGATCATTTGAAAAATTACATAAGTTAATTATTTTGATATTGTCACTTAAATGTAATTTATATTTACCCTAAATGTATTTATGATTCACAGTTTGACAAGAAATTTGAGGAACTAGTTATATTGATAAAGGAAAATCACTCCTAGTTGATGCAATTTGACGCTAGAAAAACATCAACACTGACACTAAATCAAGCACATTTTAGTTTGAGAGACAACCATCTCCACCAATACAGATTGATCTTGCTGATATGGGTGGTGTAGCTGAGGATGATGTTGGTGTTTCTGGTAACGAGAGTGAACATCAAGTCAGGGTATGTAGCTGAGAATGGTGTTGGTGTTTCTACTAACGAGGGCGAACATCAAGTCACTGATGTTGCGGTGGATGTAGTTGATGATATTGTTGGTGTTTCTGTTAATGAGGGTGGACAACTAGTCAATGTTAATCCAAATGTATGTTTCTGATACATTGTCTATAATTTGTCATTAAGTCATCGTTATGTATCATGCATATCTAGACACTTTTATGTATCATGCACATCTAGTCACTGTTATGTATCATGTATATAAAGTTAAGTTGATTAATTTAATCTTATATCTCATTCAACAGATATATATTTATATTTTATATTCATTGTCATGTTAAATAATGTATCAGCAAAAAATTATATTAACACTTTTTACTATATAAAAATTAAATATAAATTGATCATACTACCAGTAATGAACAAGAAACGAAGGACGTTACAGAACTCAACGATCCTAACAAGGTGTCAGTTCCTACATATCAAAGTACACATGTTGATACTGAAGCCAATGATCCTGATAAGGTATCAGTTTCTAAAAAATTGTACATTATAATTTTTATCGATACACTATCACTTTTTTTTTTATATATGATACATTGCTTAATGATTATACATCTGATACATAATACTTGCATATATTCAGGATGGTGTAGCACATCAATCACATCAAGATTTAAATGAACCTATCATGGATCAAGATGGTGCTGACACAGTTCAACACAACATCCCTCACGTTTTGCTCGATTAAACAACAACGGATACATCGGTAGATTTTTCAATTATGCTTTATGACACAAACTTTCATTACATACAAATTTACTAAAAAATCATTATATCATAATATATTGGATTCTTCCACATCAACAACAATATCACCATCAACTCAAGCAGCAATAAATGTACTTATCTAAGATCTGGGGAAAAATCTTACTACTGTTAGACCATTGTATGTTTACAATCCACAGAATTTAATTAGCAGCAAGTACTTGTTGACTGATAGTTAATTACCCACTAACATTTCAATGACCGAGATTGGAATCAGAAGCGATTCAATTACTCCTGCGCCTAGAAATAGAATACCTTCGAGAAATATTCAATCTCCATATTGTACTTATTTTGGATCAAGAGAGAAGAAAAAGGAGAAATTGAAGGTTGTTATTAGTCTCTATTTTCCATTTGAAGGATGTGGGATTACAGATAAAGTTTCGTCGAAACTTATTAATGATTATATGAAGTGGTTATCAAGGGGGATCCTCAAAAATCATGACAATAAGTAAGTCTTATACATATATTTTGCAAATATTTGGGTTAATTTATTTTGTTCATAACCAATTCATAATACGAATGTATGTTTCTGATACATTGTCTATAATTTGTCTTTAAGTCACTCTTATGTATCACGCATATCTAGTCAATGTTATGTATCACACACATTTAGTCACTGTTATGTATCATTTGTGTATGAACCCATCAAACGATAAATACAGATCAAAATAGTCTTATTTGGGATTTAAGATGATGGACTTTGTTGTTGCTTTTCCAATAAATAAGAATTGATTTTATGACTTGTCACAACCAAACAAATATTGGACTGATGAGGTAAAGTTCTTAAACTAATTATCAAATGTGTATCAAATACACTTATATTAGTATGACATGATACATAATATCCTGATGAAATTTAATGTATCACCTACAGAACTTCTATTATACAATAAGAACTTTTTTTCAACAGATACATTCAATTGATGTATCAAAATATTAAACTAGTATAAGTTAAGATCATCATTTAATGTAGCAATTATATTAAATTAGTATATAACCTTGTTTAGAATTATATAATTTATGATTTTGTTTATCATGTTTATTATAGCACATCGATGTGATTTCTTTACTATCTTCGTAAAAAATCAAAATTATGCAGCATGGATCAATACAGATACACAACAACCCATTGCTTGTTCGTGTCATATGTGAGAAACGTTATGATAGGTATTACATAGATAATGATGATAATAGCCTTAGTATCCAAGAACATGTTGATCGTGCTTCAGTTGTATTTGTATATGAGAGGTTAATAATTAACATCATCAAAGGTTTTGGAACCCCAGCTGCATTACTATGGCATCTTGTAGATGAGGTCTATATCCCGATTAACTGCGATCAAGAATTTCATTGGGTGCTGGCGGTTGTGGAATTAAAAACAGAGTGATAAGAGTGTTTGACTCATCAATATGCTCAACGAAAAAAACAGTTCCGCACGAAATAAAAATATTGTCTAAAATGCTTCCTTCTTACCTACTGGACAATGGATTCTTTGAAGAAACTGAGTGAACAAACTTTGGTGATTGTCATGTGTACAAGGAGAACATTACTGGTTCACTTTTAGAGCCTCAAGTTTCTTTCATGGTTAAATTTGCACAAGATATTGTACCATAAAATATCTATAGCCTGTAAGTATTATAATTTTTTTGTTTTTAATCATGTATCATTTAAGTTTATAGTTTATATTCAGTAAATTTTTTAGAGACTATGGGTTATATGTTGCTGCATTTGCGGAGCATCTGAGTGAACGAATCGAAGTATCATTTGATAATTTCCGTCCTGCATACCTACGCCAAAGATATGAAACATTGTTGTGCAGTTATGACAACGAGAAGGCTAAGTGTGGATACGTTAGTGAGAATGATGATCCACCAAAATCTAAGGGCGTAGTCATACCACTACCAGAAGAAGATCTGGTTCACATAGAGTAGTATCTTTGCATAAACAATGTTTAATGTTATCTTTCTTGTATTGCCAATTTCCCAAAAGCTTTATTTTTTTTTGATACATTATGAAACAAGTATTTTCGCTAATAAAAAGTTAAATTTCAATGATATTATGGCGTTATATAAAGAAAAAGTGCAGTAAAAATTTTATTAATCAGATATAGTTAGTAATAAATAGTTTTTTGAAAACTAAATTTACATGATACCTTATTTTTAATGAATATAATAGTTGTGCTAAATTCAATTGTTCTGTAAAATAGTTATTTAATGTACGTATCAAATAAATCATCACACATGATACTTAATATACATGATACATGATTTATAGTCATTGTAAATTACACAGTAACCTTAAAAAGTGTTTTTGAATTAAATGTACATGATACATTAGCTAACGCACATGATACATGTTTGTTACATTATCCAATAATTACAAAATTTATTTAACAAAAAAATATTGACACATATGTATTTTTCAACACAAATCATAACAAAGTATTTATAATCAAAAGTTCAACTTAAAATTTACTAAACACAAGTTATTAATAAGTTTCTTTTTCAACATCAACAGTGATTAAATAGCAAATGTAATCAATACTTAAAAAATGATAATTGTTTACGTGAAAAATTATTCAACAAAAATATTAATGTCTTAGAAACATTACGACTATTTCACTTCTCTTTTGGGAAGAAAGTACAAGTTCTTCTGTTGTGTCTTTCTTGTCCACATTGTCCACAACAATTTGTGCTCACCGTAATTTTTTCATCTGCATTCTTTTTTCTTCTTTTCCTTGATTGTCCTATTAATCGTCTATATCTAGGTGGGTACACAGTTTCAGCTACCACATTCTTAGGAGCTAACGAATATGCCCTATCTGGTATTGCTACCATTGAAATCTCATATTTTTTTGCCAATGCATCAAGCTTGTAGTAATCAGAGCAATATGGATGCATATTTTTGATATTATTTTCTTTTAAAACATCAATTGCATGTGCGCAAGGTATCTCATCTACTTGAAATCTTTCACAAGAACATATTTTCCGCCCAAGACAAACAATATATCTTCTTCCAGCTTCATAAACCGAGAAAATAAATTTAGATGATGGAACAACCTACGTAAACACCAGAATGTTACAATGAATTAGATATATATAATATAAAATAATATATAATGATACATACTTTCATCTTTGAACTTTTAGCGCATTTACAATCAACACTTCTTCAAATTTTCTCCCTAATGTGTCCTTTGTATATGAGGATATTTCTCTATTTTGCAATGCCAAAAACCAAATAGAATTCTAACTTTTCCCAAGAATTCTAATATATTCAATTGTGGTGCTTCAACAAGACAACAATTGATAAATTTCGTAATGTTTGAAGTCATCATTCTACAGCTATTTACTGTTGCATGAACTCTTGACCACTTCTGATACCCTGCATCCTCAAGGTAATCCTTAACCCTGTGATCAACTCTATAAACCTTAGCCATCAACTTATCGAAATCTTCCACTTTGTATGTCTTGTCCATAGAGTAGAATAGATCACTTAGGGTCTTCCTTCTCCTTTTGAAGTTGCCACAAACATTCTTCCAAAAATGCCATATGCATCCATAATGAGGTACATTTGGGAACGCAATTCTTACACTCTTCGTAATACTCCCATTTCTATATGATACAACACGCATATCTTTTTTCTCGCCAAATGCATTTTTGAATTGTTCGAAAAATCATGTTCACCAACAGTCATTTTCGGTGTCAACAACACCATCTTCCAATGGGAATATGCAACCTTATTATAGACACACATTATATAATTTGATATGTAACCTTTACAAACACGTCCTAACTACAAAAAATACATACTTGCCCCATCAAGTGTGCTTGCTGATACAAATGTCCCTTTGTAAGCTCCACTCAGATGTGCACCATTAACAAAAACTATTGGTCTGCAGTAATCGAACCCCCTAATGAATGGTCTAAGGCTACGAACAGATACATAAATTCATCTTCCTCGGTTTGAATACACGATATTTAACATGAGTATGTATCGCAACAACCGTCGATATCTTGCAGATGGTTTTTCCCTAATCATTGCTAGTGCACGTTTTTTACCACACCATGCTTGCTGTTAAGATATTTCAATCCCATAGAATTCTCTAATATCATCAACTATATCTTTCGGAGTATAAATAAATTTATGGTTGACTAATTTGGGAGCAGTAACTCCACTTACAAATCCGACTGTTGCTTGGACTTTGGTTAATAACCTCTCTCTCATCGTACACGTATGTTCACTATTGAAACTTCTAAATTTTAAAACATCAAATTTTTTCTTGCAGGAAGCCTTCATAGTCCAACCACATTCGTTCGAAAAGCATACCAACACATAGTTGTGTAGATTTTTTCATCATATTAATACATATAGCAGTTACATCTTATAATATATACAAAAATAATGTTTAAAGTAACAAATAATGACGTACACGAATGTATCAACTGTTTTTGAAGAAAATTATTCATACAAATATCACAAGTTTTTATAATGTATCAGCTTTATGATTGTTGAAATTACTAAAATCCTTAATGTATCAACAATAGTATATTAAAGAATCAATAGAGTTAATTCAATGTATCAACAATATTAACGAACTAATGAATCATATATTAAAACTGATTTAACTTAAAGTATCAACGAACTAATACTACCTGAATGTTTCTATAAAAATCATTAATTTTTCTAACAACACTATCTTAACAACCATATTCACTAAATGTATCAAGAAATACTCTATATACCAAAATTCATTTTCAACATCTACACAAAAAAAAACATAATCACAGACTTTATCTAATGTATCAGTCATTAAAGCACACTAATTGTATCAACATTCTATAAATTTCAAACACTCTCATATTTTGTTGATAAGATCTGTTTACTTTGCAATTGAAGTTGTTCTTTATCTTATATTTCTCCATCACATCTACGAGTGTTGCTTCATCCTTATATATCTGACCTGTCTTCACCTCTACACTTTTTGAATCGATTATAAAATTTATAACTCCAAATTCTGTAATATCATATGAATTACATAATCTGGATTCAATCATTGCTAGAGCTTGTGTATCCTGTGTTGTGCCTTCTACACATGTAATTTCTCCACATGTTCCATAAAAGTTATGTACAGTACCTCAAATCTTTTCAATTGTGTCAATGCATAATCGATACATTGCAAATCCTGGATCATTTTTTTCACTTCTAAATATAGTTTAAACACTCATATCGTTCTTAAACTTTATGGGACATGAGTTACCTTCTACGATGTAATGAATTTTAATGTTTTTCATTGATACATCGATATCCAACTTGGCTGCAATTGCTGCTTTGAGATTCAAAAACAAAATTGAATCTCTAACAACGATTTCATCGCTTCTGTAACTTTCATACTGCACTTCTTTGACCCAAATTTCCAAATGCCTCAGTAAAATTGATGTATTTATCATGTATCAGCTAACAGAAATTTAATTCGTATTTCTCGCTTTTTCAATGGATGTTCATAAACTTTTCTTCAATGTAGACGATATTATCTTGAATTTTGAAATTTGTAACGTGTGAATCAATTACTTGCTGAAATATGGATTCTTTATGATCTATTTGCCGTAACTTAAGCTAATTTAAATAACCGAATTGATTATTCTGTTTCCCCCCCTTTTTTTAATCTCAACAGTTATTTAATTATTGTGTAACAATTACTATGTATCAGTTGGTATTCATGTATCAAATGCCAGCCTTTTTAAGAGATTTCTGTAAATTGTAAATTATTCGGGACAGGCAGTAATTATTATGTTACACTATTAGAT